AGCTCATCAGGAGCAGGCAACCATAAAATTAACAGATAACAGAGGCTCCAACTGGCTGTGTTTCCAGGAAGCTTGCAGGTTACTCAAAGTAATTCAGTGGAGTTACTTCCTGAAAAAATGGGAGTATGGAATGGCCCCCATCAAGGATGGGCAGGTGTATGCAGAGGTTGATACTGCCATGTGGTATTAATGAATTATGGAAAAGCAAGCAGTGGCTGAAGATGAATTAAATTTATTGGTGCAAGATTGAAGACTGAGCCAATTGTTTCTGCAACGAAGGATGCTTACAAATGCAGTTTATTTCATGGTTTTATTCCTGAGTTTACAAAGGCATTACCATAAGTTAAAAATACGCAGATCCAAGTCCCATATAAACTCTCTTCAGCAACAGAGATGAGAATTTGACTCGTTCAGAGGTCTTCCTTTGCCTGCAGGATAGCTGGGTTTATTGATTTTTTTTTCCCTATGTTGTTGTGACATGGCAGATTTGCCTACTTATAGCATGTTTTACCATGGATTGGGACAGGTAATTTTAACAGAGGTAGAGAGTGGACAACTTAAGTTAAAAAATGGAAAGCTGGGGTGGATATACAAAACATTGACCAATAAAAACGTAACTTGAACTCTTCTTCTTGCTAGCATATTGTGCTTAAAGAAAGTTTCATATACACACAAAGGGTAATATAAGTATGTTTACAGTGCAAACAGATATGTTATTCACAGATATATGTTATTCACAAAGTCATGTTCTGTACATTGCCTACTAAATTGCTTCACAGGTTCAGTTCCACACGTAGCAACAGTTTAAGCAGTTTCAAGTAGACTGTAATATGCTGAGACCAGTTTTTTGTACCTCCTGGGTATGGATAATCAACACAAATATTCCTTTAAATATTTGACAAAGAAGCATATTGCTGCTATAAGGACGAATCCTTTCTTGACCAGACTCCCCAGATTGCCATTAGAAGGATCATGACAATCACTGTGTAAAGGGTATGGACTGTAGCGAGATCATCTCCATGCTGCTGCTTGAACCCGGAGGCGCTGTGCCAGTTCTCACTTTTGTTCCCATTGGTTTTCTGTCTGTGAGCACGGAGAGAATGTATCCTGCCATAACAAAAAGCAAGATTAAGATTAAAAATTATTCTTTTTTTGTTAACAGTTCAATGGTGTTCACAACGAAGTCCAGAGTGTACATTGTATCACTGACTAGATTTGGGAAAGAGCTCTTCAAACTGTGTGGGGCTAATAAAGTAATTTCCATAATTGGAAATGCAAAACATTTACCAGGCATTTGGTATTTCTCTCCCACTGACAGGCAGAGAGACTGGGTATGGGCTTGTTAGAGGACACACAGTGCTCTTACTCTTCACTGTTGATACAAATCAGTTGTATGAGAAAAAACATACCCTTTCATTTTGCAATGTTATGAGAGTGGCAGGGTTTAAAGAAAAATACCAGTTTCCAAAGCTTTAATCCATGGGAATAAACACAGCATGTGCTACGTGAGCTTCCCATCTTGCTCTGATAATGTGTTTCTGTCTCTGCTTCTCAGAGGGGACTTCCCTTGGCAGTCTGTGTCAAGGTATTAATTAGCCGAAGATACCAATCAAGAGTAACTACACAAAGCGTATCTGCAGGATTCTCTGGAGTAACATACATTGCTTTGCCATCTTTCCCAAATGGTTTGAAAGTCGAAGTGTCAGCCTATGGTAACTGACTTCCAGTTATTGTTATCGCCACTGAAAATTGCCTGCTTAAGCCCCAGTGGGCTTTCTTCAATTTTTTTTTTTTTTTAAGAGAAAAAAATGTTGAATGTCCACAATTCCATCTGAACTGGAATGCCAAAACAAAATCAATAAGCTTGTGATTTTCATGTAGCTTAGGAAGGGGTCCGAGAAGTGTTAGATGTATTACAGCCCTGGTTCATACATGTTCCTGCTGTTATTACCACAAGAGTAGGAGTGACCAAAAATGTTACCGCAGATAACAGCTTACGAGTAAAGAGCTTTTAAACACAAATTATATTTATATACTTATGCACACTTGGAAGAGAGATGTCAAAATTGATTTGTTAAAAATGAAAGACTACGAAGTGCGATCTGCAAAGGTAATTCATCAATAAAACAGTTCTCCAGCTGAGATTTTACAGAACGGAGTTGTAGAATTAGAAATACACATTTAACATTTGTATTAGGACAAGGGCTACCTTCTCTCTTGTGTAACTGCAAATCAAATAACACAGTTCATGACCATCTGGGAGCATCATATGAAGACCATGAGAGGAATATTCTGTCAGCAGTTTGCTTTCCTATTCCTACCTGGGGGAAATGCAGCATGTGCAGCTTACCTCCTGCAAGCATTCATGGTGTCTCGGTGATTGAGTTCCCAATGCGTCAGATTTCTTCTTGCCGAGAGAAAAAAGGCCTTTTTTTGTCCTCTTCTTTCCTCGCACAAAAAACAAAAATCTTCACTCAGTACCAACAAAAAGAATCTTTCTTCCAAGCTCACCAACTTCACCAGCGCTAATCTGGAAGCACTTGATATGTGTCAATCAAAGTTCTCAAATGACTGGTTTTCTAAAGCTGATTTTGACATAGTTCTTCAAGAAATTCCCTGCAGCAGCTCACAAGGCAAGTAATGAGTAATCCCAACGACTGGCTTCTTTTAGCTGCTGGGATCCCTTCTTATAAACAGTAGCTCGCTGCTAAAGCGTTGCCAAATTCAGAGCAACACAAGTAATGCACAGATGGAGGGTTCTGGTGATGAATAATGCAGGATGAGCTGTAACTTAGAACTACTTTCTATTAGATCACAGGCTATTTTTGGGTAAAACTTAGTTCCTTTCTACAAGTCTAATTTGGTTTAACTTGCCTGGAGTGAAATTTCAAGCCATCATCACTTACATGTGCTCTAATATTCAAACATTTTTATGAAAAAGTAGGTGCCTTCATTAATAATCTATGGTCTTTTATAACATGATCATATTCAATAAGCAGTCAATAAGCAGTATATCAGCACAAAAGAAAACATTTGGACATTTAGGGTTAGTTACAAAGTCATATACATCCTGTTCTTTCCTGCCCACCTGGAGACATTAATTAACAAGAGGCCATGCCAATGCAGAAGTTCTCCCAGAAGTTGTGCGTTGCCTAATTAGCTGGGTTAATGGTAGCCTCAGCATAATAAATCCAATGGGCCGGTAACTATTTGCAGGGCTTCTGAATAAACACATATAAATTTGTAGTTTAGAAAAACAGGCCAAAGCCCTTTTTCCCAAAACCAAATGTGAACACCTTCTTGCATCATCTTTAAACTACAAAAAAACACCCCAAACCTAAAATAACCTTATTTCTCATTTAACTATTACTTAAAGCTTATAGTCACATATAACTGCTGTTAAGACAAATCTGAACCTGTAGTTCTGGTGCATTTCGAAAGGCTTTTGCCTTTCCTTTACATAGCATTTATGTGTTTATATAAATAAAATTGGTTCCTTTAGTTTTAGTAAAACAATGGGCAATTTCCACATATGTCTTGGGATATCACTTACGCTCCAGAAAATTAAGATTGAGGTTGTGTACTCATACTCTCATCGGTCTTAAAACTCTTTTCCATGAATAACATTTATAAAAACAGCTCTCCTAATTTCGTCAACACTGTGACCGTTTAACCGAAACTGATGGAGTCTCCAGTCCCTTCAAGGCCGCTTGCAGTGCACTTGCTCTTTGCTTCTAACGGCCACACCAGTAAAACTCTTGCCACTGGAACCAGAAACAGGAGAGGAAGGTAAACATTCCCTGTGAAGACTCAGATGTTACGTTTAGGGACACCCACGCAAACCTGTTAAAAACTGGCCGCGGCCTAACCTGGCCTGGCCCGACCCGGCCCTCTCAGCGACGCCGCCAGCCGTTGGGGCGCCCCGGCCAACTACAAGCCCCAGAATGCCCCGGGGGGAAGGGGTGGTGGGGTCGTTATCGTTCGACCCTGCCAATGAGAGCGCGCGGGGCTCGTCACGTGAGGGGGGCGCGATTTCAAACGTGCAGGCGGCATCGTTGCGCTGCTCCGTGCTCGGCGGCCCCGCGGTGGTGAGCGAAGCGGTGGGGGCGGCAGTGGGGGGGG